GAGCTGGGGTTGTATAGAGCTACATAGCAGCGCTCTAGGAATACCCATGTTTTACCTGTGGGGTCATCATTCCAAGGCATCACTTGCAGAGCACATTAGGGCTCTCTCCCTCATTGGCCGAGTCCTGTTAGTTTTCTAGGATGACTGTTGCTCCATGATGGGCCTCGTGGTGTGACAAATTCAAGGGCGATCTGTTTTCTTTATTGCTGTTTTCACAAATCATTTGCTGTATTGCTGTGGAAGCAGGGGATGCTGCAAACTCACATCCAGCTGCTTTGCAGTGTGACTGGTTTCAGTGCCATTTCAGTCACAGGCTCTGAGAACCCACAGGTCTGTTCATGCTCTTCATATACAGGCACTGGCACTTGGCTTGGATAATGACAAATATTAACATCTGAAATTACACGGGAGTCAGTCCAGCTGCTTATAAACTGGCCTGATGGCTGGATTTCTCCAAAGATGGAGGAGTCACTGGGTTTCGCATTTCCTTTTCTGGTGAGGCTTGGGGTATCTTGGGTCTGGATCCTCTCTTTTGTTTCCTCCTTTAGGGAACAGAGCTGCTTGAGACTGATTCTTGGACTGTTCTGTCAGTCAGTTCATCTGTCTCTCAGGGGGACTACAGCCCCTGGGAAACATGACTTGAGAAGTGGTCACAGGGTTCTCCCGCAGGGCCCCACACTTCCTACAGCCTGCACACCCCATGGAGTCAGCTGCTTGAGCCTTGGTGAGCTAATCCTGTTCACAGACGAAGTCTTCAGAACTTCTGAGGCCTCTCTGTGTGTCCCAAGTAGCCAGAGGCTCAGAAAGTACAGGTCTTTGGGCCATCAAGAGGGGTGGATGGTCATAGTACTTTGAGCTCACTTGACATTCAGCACAGCAATCTGCTGCCACGATGGAAAGAGCAGACAGTAAACCAAAACTCAGCCAGGTTGGAGTTGGCTGCCCTGCGGTGTGGCTCAGTCACTGTGGTTTTGAGAAGAGAAATGCAGCTTCCCTGTGCATGACAGTTGTTTTAACTCTGAATTGGGGGGCAGTATGGTCTATTTTCTAATAGTGGTGCAGACTTCAGGGGTATTGTATGAAGCAGCGTGTCTCCTTATGCCTTAAGTACATGCTCCGCCCACAACAGATCATTAGTATGGCATAAAATGGAAAGTTTCGCATGGGATTGTACAATACCTGTGAGACCCCCCCCCCCATATACATATACAGATAGATAGATAGGTAGATAGATAGATAGATAGATAGACAGATCCTTCCCTGAGACAAGGTCTCTCTTTGCAGCTCAGGCTATCCTCAAACTCACCAGTGTAGCCTAGCTAACCTTGAACTTACAGTCCTCCTGAGTGTTGGGATCACAGGTGTGAGCTACTACACCCCACATAACTGCTTTGGATACAAAAAAAATTCTAGTGCTTAAGCAGATAGGAAAGGGCTCTCTTTTTGAGGGAAAAGTATTGGTTATAAAAGCATGAGACATAATCTGTTTGTTTTTTTTTCCTGGTGGGTCATGGGGTTTGAATATAGGTTCTGGGTGCTGTCCCTGAGCTTTTTTGATCAAGACTAGTACTCTACCACTTTGAGCCACACCACTACATCCAGTTTTCTGGTGGTTAATTGGAGATCATGAACTTTCCTGAACTTTCCTGCTTGGGCTGGCTTTTATTTGCCATCCTCAGATCTCAGCTTCCTGTGGCTAGGATTATGGGAGTGAAAGCTCCTGCTTTCGTGTGTGTGTGTGTGTGTGTGTGTGTGTGTGTGTGTGTGTGTGTGTGTGTGTGTACGTACACATTTCTTGTATATTTCCTTATAAAATGAAACAGGAAATTTAAGTTGTGTTACTGTGTTCTCAGCCATGCTGTCATCAGATCTTGCATAGGCTTTTAAGCATTTAGATGGAGCTACTTTGTTAAAATGTATGTTACTTATCAATGGTATAATGATGATGATCATACCTTTTCAGTCTCGGGGATTGAATCATGACCTTGTGCTTGTGAGGCTAGCCCTCTACCACTTTTATTTTTTGGGATAATGGCTCCCTAATGTTTTTGGGGCCAACTTCTCAATTGCCATCCTCCTCCTCTACCTTCAAAGTAGCTGGGATTGCAGGGGTATGCCATGACATCTGGCCCCTTAAAATAAATTTTGATAATAAGTTGAATGAAGAAAGCAGTAAACAAACTTTAAATTGCTTAGCAGTGCTTCCTGGGGCTAGTTCTGTTGTGCTTGGAGTCATTAATAAATAAAGTGGTTTTGAACTGCCCGAGGCCCTGTAGTCTGCAGCAGAAGGTGGGCTCTTATGCATATTTACTCCAATTAACTAATCATCCTTCAGAAAACATTCTGAGTGTCCTTTATGTGCCAGTTGACCTTGTGAATTTGAAGATAAATGGGAGAATCCTTCTCTGATGGATCTTGTGGGGGAAATCTCATGATTTCTAGTGGGGATACAGAGAACTCGAGAACCAGAAAGCTGCAGTAAGTAGTAGCCTATGACTGTGGAAGTAAACAATCCTGTGGTTGATTTCTTCAGCCCTGCTCACAGTCAATCCGGCTGGCACTGGGAACTGCCCACTGTCTCCTGTAATCCCTGAGCCTGTGGGGGAAACTCCCATGTAACCAAAGCCCAGAGAGTTAGGGACCTTCCCAGGACACCCCAGGGACAGCTGTGGTCACAGTTGTTCTCTTTCTCATCTCTCCCCCTCTCAGTGACCAGGGAAGCATGGAGGGCATGCTCCTGGCCTTGCTCAGGAAAGCTGGCACTCAGGGTGGCTTTGTGTTGTAGGGGTGGTGGTACTGGGCTGAATCCTCAGTGTAGGGATCTCAGCAGGCAGAGCCGAGCAGCGCCACTCAGAGGACTGCGGGGGGAGGACTGCTGAGGAGCTGCTGCGATCCCAGGACACCCCAGGATGCGATGGTGATGACCTTAAGCCTTGTTTTCCACAGAGAGATACCTGGGATGATTAACATATGAAGAGCAAAGATGTGTTTTGTTGCCTGGTTCTAGAGGGCCCAGTCTGAAATCTGGTGGATGGATCATCTGTATAATTCAGATGGCAGTGGTGGGAAACCTGTGGTGGGGGAACCAGGAAGGAAAGAGGAAGAGCTTGGGTCCCTCCATCCCCTTCAGCCACAGGCCCCTCGTCCTGAAGCATCCATCAGCTTACTGGGGTTCACTCTGGAAACCTCTGAGGGACACACGCCCTTTAGCAACTACAAGGAGGAGGTGCAGCGGCCACTAGGTTTTTACTGTTCCATTATGTGAACATTAAGATTCAACTGTTTCAATATCGATAGGAATTTGAATTATTTCGGGGAGACATATGTTCATTCAGGTATTTTTTTTAAGAGAAGATTTCTTTGTAGAAGATAGAATGTTAAAATATGGTCACATACATTATCTGCTATTATGCCAGCATAAACTCTGATGATAGCCACACAGAAAAGCTGTCATGTTCTATTAATGCATGGGACCACTTTCTTATAATCAAAGACATACAGATAAGGAACCTAAAGTCATTCAAAAGGCTCCTCAGACCTTAAACTTGTAATTCATTTTTATTAATACTCTTGCCAATTCACTAAGCGTATCAACCCCAAACTGAGAATGTACAGTGACATATTGAGGACAGAAATAAGCTGCATTTTAGTATTCCAAAATATAGAGCCCCATTTTTCTCCTCTTTGCTCTAACACTGTACCTTCTTTCAAAATGTGAGCTATGTGGTTCCACAGCTTGAGTTGAGGCTGGTACACCTGGTATACATTCTTCAGGGGAGTGGATGGGCTTCCTGCACAAGCAGCATGTTCGCTGTGCATTTGCTTTCCAGTAATCCTGCACCGTTCTCATTCACAGTGCCGCCGTGAGCCTTGCAGGAGTTACCTTTACCATGTAGGAGTTGTTCACGGGGGAATGAGTTTCTGAGAAAGATCTGGCATGGTCTTGGAGTCCTTAAAAGGGAAGAGTCAGTGTACAGAATCCTGCAGTCTTCTACTTGGATGTAGAGCTTTATTTTGAAATTCCTCTTTGCTTGATAGTTCTCATATTTCTATTCCTACTTTGTAGACTTTGTGCTTATCTCTAATTCATGAGGTAAACAGATGAAAGGGGAAATGTATTCAGTCATCAGCATGCCATCTTTCCAATGCTCAAATCAGCTGGTATGTGCAACCTCTGGGTAAATTGGTGGTATCTTTTTTTTTTTAATCCTTTAAATAGGTAACTGTCTGGTGGTTGTCAAGAAAAATACCTTTTGAAACTGGTTTTAGAAGGGGCAGAGGTAGATGTGAGATGGACTTACAAATTATACATATAATGAAAAAGTCTTTGATGATAAACACAGTTGTACAATTGCATAATTTTAGTGACCAAACAGAGTGCATGTTTACAGTACTGTTTTCACAGTGGGATGGTGAAGTCTACTACTTAGCTAGAGCTTCACCATTATTAGAGGGGTGTCCTGTGTCCTCCTGGGGGACAAAGGAAAGATTCTGAAGTGAATGGTATAATTGGTGGTAAATTGGAGAACAGCTGCAGGTCAGGCGTGCTCCAGCTGTGGTGTGAACTTTATTACCAGTTGTCCCTTCTGTGCATGCAGATGAGTGCAGCTAGGAGGCTGGGTGAAGGGTGGATGGCAGAAGGGCTGAGCACAGTCACAAGTCCTGAAGTGTGGGACAGGTGAGGCTGTTACAAATGCCATATTCCGAGAGCACTGTCCTCTAGGAGCTGGGGACATTTCCCTACCAGAAGCCCTAGTGGTGGAGCCAGAAAAGCAGTAAAAAGACAGCTCTTTTCCACCTTCTAACTGCAGGATTGGCTTGGTTTGGAGTGGCTCTGCTCACTCCAAGGGCATGTGCGCCTTACTTGTGCCACAACGAGGTTTTTTTTTTTTTTTGTTCTTGTTGTTTTGTTTCGTTTTGTTTTGCTTTTACATCAACTTCGTTCTCAGAGCAACCTGTTTCAGTTAACAAACCCTCACATTGCCAGCTGGCGTAGGAATCACATTCCTTCTTACAGGTAGCACAGTCTCATCTCAGCAGTGAGTTCGAGGTTGCAAAAGAGGACTTCCTGTTTGCACCTGTCTGTGAAGCTTTGTCACAGGTTAAACAAAGACACACACAAGTGCTCGAGGGTTTGCTTTTAAGTTAGGTCCCCAAGAGTTCATTCTGCACAGTGTTCAGAGGGACCACGCAGGCTCACCAAGTGTGCCTTCACTCTAGCCCAGTGTCCTGACCCATCACATTAGCTTGCATTTGTACCTGGTGCTTCAATTCCCCAGAAATAGTTCTCTCTCTGTTTTCTTGTTGAGGGAACTTTCATCCTTCCAGGAATGAGAGCACACAGTGTATTGGACATGTACAACATGTTGGAGTGTTGGCCAGGGATCACGTTACCCCTTTGCAAACCTGGAGAGGGATGGTTTATTGTTCTGTTACGGAGATACCTGAAGTCTTTGCTAGCTCAAAGAATTTTTTAAGTGTTTTGGGTTATTGTAGATGAAGGACCATGTTGCCCAGAGAACAGTTCCCGGAAATGTTGGGTGCAGTGACATCATTTCATTGGGATGCCTGTGTGGTTTCCGTGGTGGTTCTTTTCAAGGGGAGAGCGCTTTGAATGTACACATGCCAGGTCTCTAATAAATGTTCCTACCTTGTTAAGGCTCACAGGTTTCTCATTGGGTCTCCTGTGGATTAGTAGTAATGGAGGTGAAGAGAATGATCACAAACCAAAATGTTGATAGAGCAGTGGACGCATGTGAACATGTATCATTACTAAGTTGGGGCTATTGTCCTTCTAGTTAACATTTAATTGCAAAAAACAATTATTGCAAGATTTTTGATTCTCATTTATTTAGCAGAGTGTCAAAATTTGTGGTTTTTCATTTGTTCCTAGTATTATGAATGCAGAAAAATGGAAAGTTAAAATCCATCTAATTGCAGGGACTGAATTTTACAATAAGAACAGATTGCAGCCTCTTCTGCTGTTTCTTTAAAGGTTGTATAACAAGCAAGTCTCTGGCCTGATCTGAGTGTTAATTACCTTGTTTCATTCAGATGTGAATGATCAGTGCTGGCTTGTGTACTCCTGAGACACCCGGCTCTAATGACACATCATATCTCAGAAGGGTCAGCAACCGACTTCTTTGCCGAGGGTCCTGACTCTCGGGTTATCAACAGTGTGGGCATGAGAAATCCCACCCTTTCCAGGGCTGAGTAACAGAGAGAAAACTGTTTTAAAAAATGTATATTTTGGGTTGCAGCTGATTTTATTTAATATAATATGCCTTTTTCAACTCCTGTTTTGTGCCACACTTGAGTCAAGAGTATGATGGGTGGTGCACTAGAATAAGTACTACTCTTGCTCCCCTTGCTTGTCTTGGCTAGCATTCTCGCCTTCACCGTGAACGTCATGAGCAGACTCAGCAGTCTGTAGTCTGCAGGGCCCCCCCCCCCCCCCTGGCTATGACCTGACTGACAGCCCTTTTCCCCTTACCCCCTCATCTTTTAAACAGTAGAAATAGGGGCCAAACATGGGGGCTCACACCGTTCCATCTCCTTGGCAGGCAGAGATTGGAATATCACTGTCTGAGGCCTGCCCAGGCAAAAATGTTAGCGAGACCTGCCTCAATCAACAAGCTGGTCATGGTGATGTGGGTCTGTAAACTAGGACACATAGGCAGTGGTATCTTGAGGGCTGAGACCCTATATGAAAAATAACTAAAGCAGAAAAGGGCTGGGGGTGTGGCTTAAGTGATCCAGCACCTACCTGAGCAAGCATGAGGCAAAGTTGTGCTTTCCTCCTACAAAACATACAAGAGTCACAGTTTCACTACTGAAGTATTATCCAGAATTACTCATGAGTTCAGATCTGTCATGTAGGCCCGTTGAATGTGGGGTAGTAGCTATGATGCGCTGGGGCATTGGTATAGGGGTGTTGACAGGGCTGCTAAGCTGTCCCCCCCCCCCCCCCCCCCGAAAATCCACCTTAATATGCCAGCTCCTAACTTGACGTAAAATGGAGTTGCAATTCACAATTGTTCTTTTTCTTAAGTTTTAGGAAGACACTAAGACAGCATAATAAGAGCATCCTTTAACACCCCAGCCTCCACGCACACACTTTACAGAATCACAGTTGGTCTAGGAAAAGTTAACCTAAAATAGATGTCCTTACTATGACTTGCGGTTGGTTTTTGTCTTCGTCTTTTGATGTGGTAAGTTGGTGACTTAAAGTCACCATACTGGGGGTGTGAAGCAGAACTTCAGAGGGTGCAGATGATTCTGTGGTCTAGAGCATTAGGGCAACCTGAGTCTGAACCAGCAGGGTCCATGTCAGGAGACCAGGGCTGGGATGGTGGCCCTAGGCTGGCCTGTGGATGGGCAACTGGGGAGAGAGCCACGTGGGCTCACGGAGTGGGGGCGGGAGGAGTTCTCAGTGGTGCTTCAGATGCACACACAGACTGAGACAGCCAGTCTTGTGATCATAGCTTATCGGTCCCTTGGTGGTGGAGCAAGTATTTTAGTCCACAAGTGGTTTTTTTTTTTTTTTTTTCTTTTGCTTCAGTTCTTTATCCTGGGAGGACTTTCTTGCTTGTCTGTTCATACTGAAAGTGATTTGGCATCGCTATCTGAGGGACTGGAGCCGTGGGCCACTGTTTCCTGCACTACTGAGTTTCTCTCATTCCAGTGCCCTTCCTTGCCCAAAGCCAGCGTCCGCTGGAGCTTGTTAGGATTGATTGTCCAGCCTGGGGGTAGGGGGTGGCGGGGAAGGAGGGGCTGCTTGTGTCCCTGGAGGACAGACCTCCAATTAGCAAGGTTGTATAGGACTTGGTGGCATCGATCTGACCAGCTTGACTGCTGTGGTCTAAGTTCTCAAGATGAGTCCTGATCCCTAGTGCATGTTTATCCTGTGTGCAGGTGCAGACATGGGGGCATGAGGGAGACAGGGAGGAGGCTGGGGGAGGGCCTTCTCCAGGGCAGGAGAAGTCTGTGCACAGGACTACTAAATGATCACTTACACGCTCTTCAGCATTTTAGAGGTGGTTAGGAACAGTGGAGTTTATGGAATTCTTAATTTTGATTTTTCTTTTTTGGTTGAAGCTTGAGGTAGATTAGTGTTAATAATAGCAATATGGCTAGTGTGTGCACACAGGTGAGTTCAGTGTTGACACCTGTTACTGTGGGCTGTCCCTTGAGATCCATGAGGTGTTTCCTGTTATTCCCATTTTACGAATGAGGACTTAAAGAGACTTAAAGAGATTTCAGAGCAAATGCTGTTACATTGTCAGCAGGGACCCAGGCAGTCTGGCTGCAGATTTTTCCTATAACCACTGCACATACCCATAGAATAGCATTTGATTGTCCTGCTTCAGGGTAATACTTCGTGAAACAGGACTGAGACTTAACCATGAATGGGTGAGACCTTATTGTTCTATAGAGAGCCGATATGTCTCATGGAACTGGCATTGCTGGGAGCCAGAGAGGGGCAAATGTAAGTACTGAGTAGGTGTGCAACCTGTGTTTCAGCAGGGCTCCTGAAAAATGTCTTGTAGAGTATTATAAGAAATACTGTGATTATTGAACATTACATAAACAGAAACAAGATTTTGGTTTTAAGATTAATTTTTTTTGAGCTCAAAGGGAAATGAGCACCACTTTTTCTGTTCACACATGTGTGCGGATTCATGGTGACAGGCTGGGGCTGGAGTGACTCAGGTCACTCAACGTAGAGTGAGGGTTCCGTGTGCTTTGGTAACAGCCCTGTGTGTCTTAGTGATATCTTGTGTACCTTAGTGCAGAAGTAGGAGTTTACTTGTGGTCTCCAGTCTCTAGGATCCCCCAGCAGGGATCATGTACAGGGTAGCTGGAGTCAGGGTGCACCATCACAGAGGACACTTAATTGTTTTACTCTTGGCCTGCTTCCTGGTTCTAATGCACTCTGGCATTCCAATCTCATGCCTTTTTAGATCAGTTTGAAAGGCAATCTGATGTTAGGACCATACGTCTATATCTAATATATCTGTATCTATCTATCTATATCTATCTATCTATGGTATGGACCTTCTCTCAGTTTCTGCAAGCACTCTGTGTGTGTGTGTGTGTGTGTTGTGTGTTGTGTGTGTGTGTGTGTGTGTATGTGTATGTTTGTGTGTAAAATGTATTTTGTTGATTGTGGACCTTGAACTCAGAGCCTGGATGCTGTCCCTGGGCTCTTTTGCTCAAAGCTAGCAATCTACCTTTTTGAGCCACAGCTCAATTTCTGGTTTTCTGTTGGTTAATTGGAGATAAGAATCTCATGGACTTTCTTGCTTGGGCTAGCTTTTTTTTTTTTTTTTTTTTTTTGTCATGGGGCTTAAACTTTGGGCCTGAGTCCCTCAGCTCTTCAGCTCAAAGCTAGCGCTCTACACTTGAGCCACAGCGCAACTTCTGGTTTTCTGGTGGTTTATTGGAGATAAGAGTTTCATAGCCTTTCCTGCCCTGGCTGTCTTTGAACTGAGATCCTCAGATCTCAACCTCTTGAGTAGCTAGGATTACAGGTGTGAGTTACCAGCTCCCTGCAGAGGTGTAGCCCAGCCTGGTATTGAACTTGTGATATTTCTCATTGATTACTGGCATGTACCACTCCAGCTGGCATGTGTTGTTTTGTTAATAGAATGAGTTGAAGGACCAAATTAATAGTGAGTGCTGTGTGGCCTTGTACCTTATTTACTCCATAGTAATACATCTTTTCTGCAGTAACAGGACCCTTATACCATGATGCCTTTGTCATTTATCTCATTACTGGATTATATTTTGAAAACATAATGACCTTGAGGTCCATCCAGACACTGGAACAGGCCCTCTTTCCTAGGTGAACAGATTACCTTTCCCTTTTGCAGGGCAACTATTTTCTGCAAAACAAAGAAATGCATCCTTTCCTTGCTGGGCACCAGTGGTTCACACCTGTAATCTTAGCTACTCCGGAGGCTGAGATCTGAGGATTGTGGTTTGAAGCCAGCTCTGGCAGAAAAGTCTACGTGACTCATCTCCAGTAAACTACTCAGAAAAAGCCAGAAGTGGCACTGTGGCTCAAGTGGTAGAGCACTAGCCTTGAGCATAAAGAGGCTCAGGGACAGTGCTCAGGCTCTGAG